AAAGGTAATCAGGCATTCTAGCCAATGTTTGGGTTTTAGAATTTGATCCTAGGTATAATGAAATGTAATTTGTAGGTTAGGAAAAAGGAAATGGAATGTAAATAATGATTTATCAATTATATAAATCCTTAAATCTTATATAAATCTTAAAATCTGACTGTACCACTCCTGCCTAAAGCCTTAAGAGACTTTTCAGAAGCTCCAATATAATAGCTAATCAATTTCAAATGGCATCCAGGCTACAGACTTCCTCTCTGACATCCGGCAGCCATCCCTGCATCTGGATTGACTGCAGTTTCCAGGACATCTGTGTGCATTCCATTTCTTTCCTTTTGTCTACAAGACAGATTCCAAGTCGAGCTTCCAAAGCTCCCTCAGGCACTTTCTCCCCTGCACCACACATAACAGTGATAGCCTCAAAGTCATCCATATGTTAAGCCCTACACTCTCCACCAATAATTATCTCATTCATTCATAAAACCTAACAATACTGGGGAAATCCTAGAGCCACTTCTGTTATAATTAGGAGCCAATCAACGCTGTTAACTCTACTGCCCAGACGCTACACCCAAGTTAAGATAAATTGGGGGAATTTAATAGGAACTGTGTACAAAAGCATGGGCAGGATTCAATGAAACTAGAAGGAATAATAAATCATATTCCCTTTGACAAAAGTCTGTGACTTTTCCTCTGTACGAAAGGAAGGGGTTAACAGAGCTAGAGAAGGCACTGACCTAAAGTGTAGGAAATTTTTGCTTCAGGATTTAGCTATCAAAGGGACAGAGGACAGGGACTAAAGAAGAAAACACCTAACATGCTATCCTGTTCTCTCTCTTCTTGCCTGGATTCCCCAGTGGCCAAACCCATCTAGACACTGGTGTGTAGAGGACCCCACTGGTGGTGCATATAGATTATAGGCCTCCTGGAGCAGAGAGGACCAGGCAGAAATGAATTCAGAGAGCCCAGAGGAGGAAAATTAACACATTAGCATGTACCATGGCTGTAAAAGTAACACCAATAGAGTTTGCCATGGCAATCAGCAAGAAAGTTAAATGTTTCATTTATTAAAGGAATGCTTGTGTGCTTGCAAGCCTCAAAAGATTACATGGAAATATTTCATTAAAAATTTGGTTGCTTAGATAAAAATATTAATGGGTAAAACTTACTGTCATCTCTATCACAATTTATAATGGAAAAATTGTCTACTTTCAAACAGAAAAAGATAAAACATGACGGAATAAACTTCCAAAAAGTACAATATATACATGAACAAAAATGTCCTCACTGAAGTATGCAAAAGATTTGAGTAGCAGAAGGAGAGAAATAGCTACAGATATGCTGTGGGAATGAAGAAAGGGCGGGGGCATGGGAAAGGGAGAAAGACAGAAAGAGATCCTGCATAGCAGAGCTCGGCGTCATAAGGATATTACCAATGTAGGGATGATATGAAATTGTTTTTCTGAAAGCTGTTCCCAAATTTTGTGAGCCCAGCTGCCTACCACATAGATCTCTCCCTGATTGATGCCACAGTCTGGGTTCACACTATTAGTTGTTGTCACTAATAGAAATTAGGGCCAGGGTTGGAAGGCTTCTGCCTCCTCCTCCCACAAAAGCATTAACCACATAGACAGTCCAAGTCTCCCTATGCTCGAAGCAGAGGCTAAAACCTTGACTCTAGGAGAGAAGCTCTAGTGACAATGTTCCTGTTCCTTATCATAGTCCCCGTGACTCTGGCTAGAAGCTTGAAGACCTTCAGAAACTTCAGGTTTCATTTTGAGGGACTAGGAATTCATTTTATAAGAACAAGGCTCGTGGCAGTCTCATATATTGTGTAAAGGTTACAAAGTGCTGTTCGCATAGCTCTATTCACAAAAATTACCCTGTGAATGAGGTTGAATATGCAGATGATTAATGACATTACAGAAGCAAAGCTGCCATAGCCACATAATAAAAGCCAGTATAAATATCACTATGACTATCCAACATTTTGGTTTTTATTAACTTGCAAAGAAGTAGAATAAAATTTGTTTTTGTTTCTTTGCCACTTCTCCTCTATTCCCCTTCTTGTGCCTTCACACACACACACACACACACATACATCAGCATCCTTTCCACTTTCAGATCACATGTGACCCTTTGCCCTACTTCCTGCCCCTTCTCAGCACCTGTAGAGTCCACGCCCACTCTCATAGCCCCTTGTTTACATACACACAGACAAGAGAAGCTAGGATCCACATATGCTTTTGTCTTTCTGAGACTGGGTCACCTCACTTAATATTACACTTTCCATTTCCATCAGTTTTCCTACAGATTTCACTTTCCTTAACCGCTGAGTAAAATTGCACTGTGAACAAATGCTGTGAACAAATCTACGGCGGTTCCACCTCCTTGCTATTGTGCAGAGCTGCAGTAAACATGGTCGTGGAGACAAGTCTGTGGTAGGGCATGAAGTTCTTTGTCTCTGGGAGTGGTATAGCAGTCATATCGTAGTTCAGTCTTTAATATTTGGGGGAACCTCTTTCTGGTTTCCATCGTGGCTGCACTAGTTTCCACTCCCACAGCATTGAATAGGGTTTTGTCGCCCTCCCACC